CACAATTATTAACTATGTGCATTTAAATCTCATATATGCATAACATAATGGAGAACTTGACCAATTAATTTAAGCAACATAAGCAACTAAATAACTAAAATTAAATTCTCCCACTATTTTATACACCCAAAAATTGTTTAATAAATCAAATTCAGCATATTTCAAATCAAATATAATTTTGCAAAACTCAAACAAATATATGATTGCCTAAAACAAATGTTTAAACAATTAAATAGCGGACAAAAAGAATTTTGCAAAATTTCACAGTATGTTAAAATAGCTAAATTGATTTCTCTTTTATTTAAACAATTTAAATGGTGCATGAAATAGATTATAGATAAACCATATGGCTAAATAAATAAAAACCAATTTAAATAATACTTTATTTAGCCAAAAACTATTTCCGGAAATAAAACAAAATTGGCTCATATAACAAAACACAAAATAGAGCCCAAAGCCAGAATTCCAAAAAAAAGATAAAAAATGTTCAGGCCCAAAAAGAGTCCCAGATAATAAATCAGAGAACTCATACAACATCTATTTAGCTCAAATGATTTCTGAAAAATTACACAAACCATCCCAAACAACAATAATCGCATAAAGGCTAAAATTGATTTTTCTGGATTCAGACATACATAAAAGGCCTAGATATATTTCTGGATATGAACCAAAAGAGTGAAAAAATTGGAACTAGAAACAAATTAAACTGATTGAGGCCCATGTTCCAATTTTCCGGAAACTAAAACAATTTTTCAACAGTCAACTTCTGAAATCAGACAAATAGTACTAAAACTTTTGAGAAATTGGAAATAATTTTCACGGTCCACTTTGGTTCTGAAATAAAATCAAAATGACCCAGAATGTCATATGGGCGTAAAACATTAAAGGCCTATAGGGAAATAACATATTAAAACCAGAAAATAAAATTTGAAGGTAGAAACTTGAACCACAATGTCCTTGCGAAACCCTTTTTTTTTGTGTGTGTATATTAAATAAGCCCAAAACCGAATGGCGCATAAAATGTGGAAAATATGAAAACAGAAGCTGTCATGGGATAGGCCCAAAACACTGCCCAATTTTGTAAAATGGCTTCGAGTAACAAACAAGCTATTCTGCAAAAACAAAACAGAGTCCCCAACAAAATAAAGAACAATTCAGATGCCTACTTTTTCTTGAGCCCAAACCATGTGCAGCCCAACAACTGAATAGTGAAACTGGGAGTTTCCCTTTGCCGCCTATTTTCCACCTTCAGTCGGATCCCTAACAAACCCGCCAGCAATTTCAACCCGAATATATACAGACATATCTGCCGTCGTCTGCAATTGCAGGTGACCTTTGCCGGCGATTTTAACGCCATTTCTGATCGTTTTCACGGCAAGATGATCAGAACTCAATGGCTAGCAATTTATGATAGCAATATCATCAAGAGCAAGCCCATGATCAAATTGAATTTGATAAAAACATGCGAAAAGAAAAAAACCAAATAAAATTTTGATTTCAAACCAAAACATCACAGTGATACCATTGGCAATTTTATTCTCCAAAATGGCAAAGTCCATGTGGGCAATAATCACATGTAAAGGATACGAAAACTCAAATCGCATATATCAATATATAGATTTTGATGCAAAACCAAGCTAACGTTTTGGATCCTTTAAATTTCAATGAAAAGGCAAACCAAATTGAAGGCGGTCATCAAGGAAACAATATATATAATTTTCTTTGGTCCATTCACCCAAAAGCTCGACCATATATAGAGATCCGAGAAAAACAAAGACGGTTGAAACAAGCACATATGATGCTCATAGAAGTTTTTCTCAAAATAATTTCCAAATAGAAAATTAACATACATTCATAATGTATCATTTACAAAAACAGCAGGCAGGGGGAGATCTAAAAACTGGCTCTGATACCACATGTTAGAACAATTCACATGAACACATATATTTATCCAAATAGTCACATAGAATTCTACAATTATCAGAGTAGCAGTAGAAGACTTATAAATACCTCTCACCATGCTAAATAGTCTGAAGAGGCAATCCACAATGCTTATGGCCTTGATCTGGATTAGAATAACTGAAATTATTCAGATGTTGTTAGTAGAAAAGATATCAGGATCTCTTCTGACTGGGAGGTGGGCACAGTGATGGAATAAGAAAGAGCCGCGTCCAGTCAGGGAACCTCAAGAGCCATGTATTAGTTTTCACAATGCCCAATCAATTAACCGTCAAAACTTAACCCACCATCAAGGTCAAGAATGACTAAAAGGCATTGAGCCTAGAACCCTATCTAGATTGGGCCTAACTGACTAACGGGCCATACTCTAGATATTTTAATTAAAACAAAATAATATAATATAATATAATATATATAATTAAAATATCTTACACTTTCCTGAACCAGATGCATTAATGACAAGAAGCCAGCTTAAACACAGCCTGAGATAATAATCAAGAGCCTTGTGAACAGTATTTTGTGAGAAGAACCATCAATAAGCCATATAAGCTGCTAAGCTTGGTGGAAGAGTATTTTATTTGTTATTGATTATTGATGCTAAGCTTGGTGGAAGAGTATTTTATTTGTTATTGATTATTGATTGATGATTGATATCTTCTTTTATATATCTTGTAGGCCATGATGAAGAGTTCAATGATGAAACCAGCATCCATTAACATCAATTTCACAAGTTCTTCTTCACTAAGGTTAATGGTTTCTGAATAAGAAGCACGGACTTTTGGTTCTAAATGTTTCACACAACGAACCAAATCATCCAAGCTTGACATAGCTCTTTGAGCAAATCTTTTGAAAAATATTTGTTTATGCCTTTCCATGTCTTGCAGCCTCTCATTACGATAATGGAAGGGGCCAATCGAAACAACTTTTGGGGTGTAAGCCTCTTCTTTAAGATGACGGAGCACAATGGGCACTCGGTAGATACAACAGTCTGGTGACAAAAGACCATCTTCGCAATCTTGAATCATTTCTTTGATGTCTATGGCCAGCTCATCTTCCACCTTTGAAGTTTGATTTAGAATGCAAACTTGAATTATACAAGTGATATATAAATATATATATATATATATAAAGAATCCCCTGTTATAAAAATGCGCTTTTTGGCCGCGTAAAGCTTGACGGTTGAAGAGGAAGTGTCTGTTTGTTTAAGTGGTAGGATCTCAAATAAGCCCGTTTAAATCCAAATAAGTGATTATGAAGCACATTTGAGTTGTTTGGATAATTTTCATAAAATCCCGATAAATCGTGATTTTAACCTCTTACCGCACTTTTAGGATAAGCAACAAAAAGTAGCTTATGAGTTTGAAAAATCCTGATCAATCTTCAGCAATTAAATTTTCTCCAATATACCTTTTGCTCATTCGGTGCCTCTCTCTATTCCATCCACTCCTGCACACATCCTTTCCGGAAACAGCCATACTAATAATCATTCTAATGGTAATTATTTTAATTATTTGTTTTTTTTAAAAAGCATACGATATGAAACTGTTTTTCTTTTAATTTTATCTAAAAGACATTTAAAAAAAAATCAGATAAAACTTGAATGGATGACATATGGTTGAAACAATGGGATGCAAATATTCAGATAATATTCTGATCTGATTCTGATTTGACGAGCATCGTTAAATGAAGAAAATAAAAATAATATTTAAATATTCGTGTCATTTATTAAATTATATTTAATAAAATTTATTATTAAATATAATAATTATGAAAATGTAAACAACTTTATTAACTTCATGTCCTTTTTAGTAATTATACATCTATAAGTGATTTTAATAAATAAAAACCAAACATAATCACAATTCTTAAATCCACTTATTTAAAAAAAAACATCCAAACAGAAATCACGATTAACTAGTGTCACTTATAAAATTCACGATTATATAAAACATGGCATATAGGTTGAGAAGGAAGTTGGGAGAATATTTAACTGACAGTTGTTATTTTGACTGTCAAGTTTATCGACAAAATATTTGTTGGTTAAATAAAGGGAAAATTAGAGAGTGACCTAGTGGGAATAATTTTTCCTTACATAAATAACCATTAAACAGGTTTAATTTTTTAATTTATTTTAAAATTGGTTAATTACTGACAGTTATCATCAAATAATTGAAGACAAAATTTGAATTTTTTTTATATAAATAACCGTCAAACCTTAACTATTTGATGGTTTTTTAATAATAAATTGACAATTTTTTCATTTTAAAATCTAGCTTCAAAAACTTATTTTCATTTCTAAACTTCTCAATTCCAACCTATTTGGATAAGGGTAAAAAAAAAAAAACAAAAAGGACTTCGAGTTACATCTCGAATATCAAGTACAGTTTCAACTACGCAAATTTAAAATTTTCAAATAATAATTTTTAAATAGAAAGATTATTTTTTCAAAATTTTAATAAGAAATTATTTTTATTTTAGATTCTTTACACATTAAGATAATTTTTGTCAAAATCTAAATTATGCTGTTGATAACAACAGATTTGTATTCTCATAAAATTGTCTATAACCAAAACCAGACAAGGCTAAAGAAAAGGGTAAAAAAGAGGGGGCGAAAAAGGCTGCAATGGGTATTAAACACGCGCAAATCTTAGAAGGTGCGATCATATTAAAGGGAATGTAGAAATTAAGAAAAGCCATCACGGATGAAAAGCACAGGACGCATGCTTGCAATCTGACAAGTGTCTTTGAAAGGGAAACGAAATAAGACTAAAGAAGTGTAATAATAGAGGAGTTGTATAAACAGAAGCAACCTTAAAAATTATAAGCAAAAAGAAAGTAAAGAAAATAATAAGAAAACGCTTCACAGTTGAAGAAAGAGCAGTAAAGAATGACACATACGTGTTGTTGTTCCAAGTTGTTGGTGAATAAGAAAACTGGTGACCGCTGCGCCACCATTTCTTGATCACTCTCGGAGGCTCTGTCTCCTCGGCCCTTGACTTTAGACATCGGCCAGCGGGAAATAAAAGCACGTGCAGCTGAAGAAGCTGATACTGAAATTTCCGCCATTGATGGTACTCTTGGTTATATAATAGCCTGAAAATCGAATAATATGAAATAAGTTATTGAATGATTTATTTGCTAAGAGGCTGTGATCTTTTCGGTGGTATATATTGAGAACGGCGAGCGGATGTGAAGGAGGAGAAGGAAGTGTATTTCTACTCTGTTATGCTCGGCAACTCACGCCAGCAGACCCACCGACGTTAGTGTCAAGCAAGAGAGAATCATATATAGAAACACACGGGGCTATGCCTGGGGGAAAGATTCAGAGAGGATTGACAACTCTTCGAACACTACAAAAAAACATGTCAATGGTAGCGGTTAGAGTGATACATTTCTAGCGGTTAACAAAACCGCTAGAAAAACAGGCGCAAGAAAAAATTTCTAGCGGTTATGGCAACCGCTACACATTATGGTCAACACGCTAGAAACTTTCTAGCGGTTTATAATCGCTAGAAAATATAGAAAGGAAAAATATTTCTAGCGGTTATAAAACCGCTAGAAAATGTGCCCGGAATAAAATTTCTAGCGGTTTTATAACCGCTAGAAACATGCTAAACCAAATCAATTTTGCCGGGAAATAAATAATTTCAGTAGTGCGCGAAAATTTCTAGCGGTTATAGAACCGCTAGAAATGTTTGGAAAATTAAATTTTCCCGCCAATTAAATTTCTGGAATGGCGGCAAAACAATTTTCTAGCGGTTTGAACCGCTAGAAATTTTGGCACAAAATTTAAATTTGACGAAATATTTCTAGCGGTTCGGAACCGCTAGAAATGTTTACCATGCCAAAAAAAAAATTTTTTGGTTTTTCATATAATAATTTTAAAAACCATTAAATAAATTATGTTGAAGAATTTTTGTTAATTTGTATAATTAGTTATATGTTACATTTTATATATTTAAATTTTGTAATAAACAATATGTAATTAAATTATGAATGTGTCAAAAGAAGTGAATTTAATTTAATAAGATAATTTAATTGAATATTTAATAAGATAGTTGAATTGAAGATGATATATTTTGTAATATTGAATCTATAGTGTTAGGTTGAGGAGTATTTGAATCAGTTGAGGAAGGCATGACAAGTGTGAAGAAGAAAAATCTGAAAGAAAAGGAGAAATAAATATGTTAGTAAATTTTAAATAAAAACAAATAAAAGATACAATGAATTATAAAATAAAATTCACTTACCATACAGTAAAGAGAAAGAAACCACCATATGAGATAGTAAGAAAAAAAGAGAGAATTATGAAGAAGAATAGGAGAGGAAAGAAAAGAGATGGAGTAAATAAATGTAGAGAAGATATGGTATTTATAGAGATCAGCGACACATTTGTAGCGGTGATTTTGTAGCGTTTCATTGCATTTTGTAGCTGTTATTCATTTTCTAGCGTATATATAACCGCTAGTATTTTGTAGCGGTTTTATTTGTAGCGGTTAATAACCGCTACAAATTTAATTTTTTTATTTTTAAATATGTGAACGAATTTTAATTTATAGATATATATTTGTAGCGGTTAATAACCGCTACAAATTTAATTTTTTTATTTTTAAATATCTGAACGAATTTTAATTTATAGATATGTATTTGTAGCGGTTAATAACCGCTACAAATTATAATTTTGTAAAATAAATTTGTAGCGGTTATTTAACCGCTACAAATTAAACTTTTTTTATTTTTTAAAAAACTGTACGAATTTTAATTTATACATATGTATTTATGGACGGAAAATTTTTTTAATAATTTATTTTGGATGCTGCTATTCTCCATCATCATCCGGCCTGAAAGGACACATTTTAAAAAAATTTGTTAAATTTATAATGTATTTGGAAAAAATTAGTAATTAGTAGTTAATTATTTAAATAATTTAAGAAAAGACGTGTACCTGATAATTGGCAAATTATCATCTCCTTGAGGAAAGAAGTCTTCAAAATTCTAGGGTTGGAAGGGTTCACTGTCGTAAATAATGTCACCATCACCCATATCATAAAGATCCCGTGGCTTGAGGTGAACGACCATATTCTAGTCTTTATGTTTTTCGTCCTCGACATAGTAAATTTGGTGTGCCCCAGAAGCAAGGATATATGGCTCATCATCTTCAGATGCCCCCGTATGAATAAGTCTAGAGAAATTAACTGAGGTGATGCCCAAATGGTCAGTAGCGAGTCCCCGTGAAGTTGTCGTATTTGCCCAGGAGCACTTGAACAGTGTCACGGTGAAAAGCTGGTAACTCAACTCAATAATGTCAATTAGCTTTCCATAGTAAGTGACGCCTCCAAAGCGCATATCGCCATCACTACTGCTAGCATAACATCTCGTTCCGAATGTCTCGCAAACTCCAGAGTTTTGTGTGAGCAATTCCTGATCACGTCCAACCGTACAGAACTTGAAGCCATTGACATTGTACGCGGTAAACCTTCGTGTAAAACCCTTAACCTTAAAAACATCATAAATCATCATAAAGTCCACTACTATGGTAGAAAAGGAAAGCTGTTAAAACGAGCTACCATAGTAGAAGGAAAATTTCATATTTTTAGAAATTGACTTTCAAACTCGGGTCAACCCGATAAACGTTGCATGCAACTAAAATAATCCATTCATATCTACTGGGCCTCCGAGCCTCCGGCCCGGGTAACACATACATCAAAGTCAGCCCATCTAAAAAGTTTTCAACTATATAATCCAGAGTTCATCAAACACTAGCAATGGCCTCCGGCCAATCAAAATAAGGAGATACATTCTCTCCAGTTTACAACAAGGCCGGGTAATCAAATATATCAAAAAGCAGTCCTAAATGTGGCAATATATACTAGTCATACATATACAAATGCTAGAGGCCTAAAGCTAACCAAGCTCAAGCCTCTGCGTCTCTTCCCGAAGGCGCACGCCCGGAACCTTCACCTGAAAACATTGTAAACCACGGGGTGAGACAAAGTCCCAGTAACCAACCTTTCCAATACTAGGTACTACTAAATAGGTGCTCGTGAGGTGTCAAGTGGGGCAGTTCACAAATAGTATAATAACGAGATAGCCACAACAAATTATGCAAGTGCAATGATGCAATCCCAACAACCAAATCCCTCACTTTGGGGGATTTTCAGGAGCCGAAGCCGGCCTATCCCTCACTATGGGGGACGTAAGGAGCCATAAAAGGCCTATCCCTCACTTTGGGGGACGTAAGGAGCCAAAAGGCCTATCCCTCACTATGGGGGACGTACTAAGCCAACCATCATGCATTAATGGAGGCCTTACCACGTGGTAGTAACAGACAAAACTCTCACCAATTCCCAATTAATGCATCATGCTCAAATCATAATCAAAGAGTAATAATCATTTCACAATTAACCTCATTCAGTGGCATATCTTTCACAATACCAAAATTCATTCATCAGTAGTCGAAACCCCACAAGACGGTTTTCCTTTTTATACACAACATACAGTTTGAACATAATTACTACTTAGAGCACAAAACATAAATCTACTCACAAAACCACAGAAGCAAGTACTAAGGATTGGAAAGTGGTTACCTCTCGCCTGAGCAAGGAATAACAAACTGACAATGTGGCCCCGTGCACCACCACGACTCACAACCGGTCTACACAAGCACACAAACACACAACCATCATATATTAGCTTTCAAACTAATAATGTGGCCAAAACAACACTTGGGGACACAAAATTCCTATCTCCCATCAAAACTCTACCCAACTCAAAGGGTATAACTATCAAAACAACACTCCAAAGTCCTCAAAGTCTATTAAAACATCAAGTCTCCTTCCAAGCATCAATTAGAATTCAAACCTCAAGGACCCACTATAGGAATTCAACCTCCAACATCTCATTTGAGCAATTAAGGTTCCAACAACAAATCTAAACCGATTAAACATCCAATTTAACCCTCCTTAACATAACCCAATTCACAAAACTCAAAATCAATCTCTACATTATCATCCTCAATCCCAAATCATCCATTTCCATAAACCCTAGCTCTAAAAATTCAAGATTCTTTAAATCCAGGAAAACTACACCGATTAAATACTTAAACTAACCCAATGCAATCAATTAAACTCAAAACAATCAGTCAAAAACCTCAGTTTCATCACAACCTAGAAAAGCCTAAGGTTTCACCATAATTCCTTACAAATTCCAATCAAGAAGATAGATTAGAGGTTAAAATCACTTACTTGAGGTAATGGATCCTTAGAAATGTCTTTCCCAAGCCTCAAAACCGAAACCCTAGCAGAGCTCCTCTCTCCTCCTTCAGATTTTCTTATTTTCACACAACTGAACCCTCCAGCGATATATAGAATCGCGACCTTTCGCCGCGACGACTCCATCTTCGCCGCGGCGAACTAATCCCGAGAGGGATTACTCGCCTGAAAACCTGACTTCGCCGCGGCGAACCCCAATCTTCGCCGTGGCAAAAGATTCCCGAGAGGAAACTCTCGCTCGTCCAGAAAACATTCGCCGCGGCATACCCCTACCTTCGCCGCGGCGAAACCTTCCCGAAAGGGAAGCCTCGCTCACCTGAACAACAACTTCGCCGCGGCCAAACCTTCCCGAGAAGACACTCCCTCTGAAACTCCTGGTGCGCCGCGGCGAACATACCTTGAGAGGGGTACGTTCACCTATTCCTCCAACAAACCTCAAATCCAACCCAAACACCCAGATCAAGATTAAATCACTAATCTATCCTCAAAATCAACCCAAAAGAGGCTACTAAAACCCGATAAAACTCAGGATGTTACACTTCGTGCATGGTCTAACGGACCGAGAGAAAGAGCTTTGAATTCATCTGTGTATGGGCTGTTGTCATTACGTATTCGACGTGTAAACCAACTGGGAAACTCTTTGTGGACTCTTTTATCAATGTCAGCAGAACGCGCACGGCCCCGTAGCTGACGCCTGAGATAACTCCTAAACTCACTATAGTAAAGTGTAATTTGTTAGAAGAGTCAATAAGAAACAAATATAAAGTGTAAAAGCTAGTGAGCTTATATGATATATATACTTACTGCATGAAGGGTTCAACTTGGCTGCAATTTATCAAAACGTGTCTGTGTGCCTGGAGTTTCTCTGTAGGAGTGAGTCTG